TTTGAGTGTTCGCTGAAGCAGCCACATTTTTTGCACGTCCTTGGATTTGCTTTCAAAGCGCTAGCTGCCACGCTTCAAAGGGCAATTTTTCTGTTTTTGCGCTGATTTGGTCTTGCCTTGATACGTCACAGTCCTCCTATTCTTGTTCTGATCCGGTTTTAAGAAGGTACATTCAAGATGCGTTGGACGGCAAACTGGAAAATTGTCCGGTCTGCCATGAGCCGCCACGCGACGCAGTGGTACTAACAACATGCTGGCATTCGCTATGTGTCAGCTGTGTGTCACTGCTGGAGAACAGTAGCGACGGCACACCAGCTGCGTGCCCAACATGCAACAAGAAGTTTCTTAATCAGAACATCCGGCTGCTGCCAGCAGGGTCAAACGCCACTGTACAGAGGTGGAAGCAGGTCGTCCTAAGGAAGCATCGTGAGTTGATCGCGGCTGCTGAAGCTAGAAAGGTACCTAAAGGCGGTGGGACGGAAGTTCCATCATCAGACGGGTCACTTCTGAAACGGGGAATGTGTTTAGCATGTACTGCGTCTGGAGCGTTCCCTGTGGAAAGCCTGGAGACGGATTCAAAGGCACTTCTTGGAAAACCTGAAGAGCTTCTTCAGGATGTCCCTGACGATGCCTTTTTCTTTAGCACAAAAATACGGCTGCTTCTAGCGCTGCTCGAGGCTGATGTTGCGGCGGGAAGGTCCTGCGTCATTTTTTCTCAGTGGACGTCAATGCTTGACCTCCTGGAAATGGCATTTGCACATGCGGAGGCCGTTCGCGGCATTTCGCAGACTCATTTGTCGAACACTACAACAGAGATGGATGCGGATGATGATGTTATTGAGATGGGTGTCACCTTCACGAGGACAGGGCCAGCAAAAACCAAAGTTGGCGGCCTCCACACTAAGAAAGAAGGCGCACGTTTGGGATGCAAGCCTGAAGCTAGACGAAATGTTTCAGCCAACCGGTTGTACAACTACCGTCGAATTGATGGAACACTAGGCCTGGAGGCAAGACAGCGCGCAGTCAAGTGGTTCTTAGGTGGTGAGTCACCTCTGGGGACTACAGAAGACACGTCTACTGCAGACTTAACCGAGACTGAAGAGGGACCGTTTATGGGTCAATGCAGTCTGAAGCCCTTCAGCTGCATGAACGACTTAGCTGAGGCTTCACGTCGTGTAGCCATCCCTGCGTCATCCCGACATGGCACTGAGACAGCCTTGGGACACCAGACTGATTCTTCTTCCCCTCCAGGACACGGAAAGATACTCTTGTTGTCTTTAAAGACAGGAAACGTAGGACTTAACCTTGTCAAGGCAACTCGCTGCTACATTGTCGATGGCTGGTGGAATCCTCAAGTGGAAAAACAGGCAATGCGGCGCCTCTGGCGGTATGGACAGGCAAGCTGCTTTCTCACATTTAGCCCTTTTAGCCTGCAAATCGTCTTGCTTGAAGAGTTTGATTCTACGCACCAATTAGTTCGTCATATTGTCTGCGTCTAGCTTGGAGATGCGAACTACGAGCTTGTCTTCCACAGTATCGGTGTGCGCCATCCTCTTAATATGCTGTCTTTTGGTACAAGCTCTTGCGTTGGCAGGATCAACCTGTTTCAGTGTTTCGTTTTGTCTGTGCCCGGACGGTGGAGGAACGAATGGAAGAACTGATCGAGTGGAAAGGTCGCCTTTCACGTAGCACGCTCCGCTCTGGTGATGTGGAGTGCTCGGCAGATATAGAAAGCGGAGATGAAGATAACAAGCGAAGAGGAAGACTATCGCTACAGGATCTTAAAAAGCTTTTTGAAGGTTGGGATGCAGATTTGGCTGCTCCCGAAGCCTCCTGCTGTTAACGTTTTGTCGTCCGCACATACGGCAAACTCCTGTACAGATGCGTACCTCTGGGGTTTTTGCTCTCCAACCAGTTGTTTTTAGCATACTTTTAGGTCCGTCAAGGAGTGAATACTTCTCTCTGAGCATTCGGATGCTTCACAGTTAGCATTCCGGCAACTATGTCGTACTTCACCTTAGCAAATGTGTCACAAGCTAGCGAGCTATTTATTGTGTAGTCCAGTACTTGCTTGATTTTAAGTGTTTGGCTATTGTGCAGAACCGCCCACGACTTGTCTCCTGTACTGGACAGACCTCCTACTGCACATGAATTCGCTGTTTAAAATGCTGTCCTCACGCAAGCAACGATCGAAGCCGATTCTTTAACCAGCAACGAGCTCTGGCGAGAGCGTAAATTGCTTTGGCGCTTGGGGGAGATACTTTGGCAAGGGCTACTCTACTTCGTGCTTTGTGTACTGCTGCTGATACACAGGAGCATCTTCTCGAAATTTCGTGCTAGAAGAAACTCTAACAGTAAATTTCCGTCAAGAGTTCAGTTGACTGTAGCAAATGAGGCGCCACTACGTCATTGTAGAATAGGGTCAACAAGCTACCAATTTGGATATACAAGGGCAGTCGAACAACGCCGCTGTGTGAGACGAAGGCAAGTTCATCCTAAAGAAGTTTAGGCTACGGGGGAATGCAATGCGTTCACACTTCATTGGGTACGAGTACAGGCAGTGTTCATGTAACGATGGTCCTCATGGACATTGTATGGAGTCGTTGGGAGTGAGATGGCGACATTAGGAAACTGGTTGATCCTACCAGTACCCATACGCTTCGCTTGACAATTGCGCCGTGCATTTCTAAGCAAAACCTTTTTTACGGTGAAGCTGCCAATGGCCCATTCATAAGAGCTACAGTGTATTCAATGGTTCCTTTTTACAGAGATAACCATGATAATTGTTTGGTTAATACATGCGAAAGGCTCTGATAGTTGTATGGCTAAGACGTCCTCAAGGCTATCCTTTGGAGGGGCTCTGCTTATTAAAAACAAAACTAGCCAGCTTCTGTAGGGTCTTGGTCATTATATCGGTCAGGCGGATCACAGTTGGTTCACTAGTGACCCGTGATGGATCGCCCAGGTTACTGGTTTCTGGCCTATCAGCTATCGACGGTAACGTATTGACCTTGCGGGTAACGGCGAAGCAGCGGTAAACTGCGGTGAGGATGCGTGGGAAACGGCTGCCACATCTAAGGAAGACAGCAGAAGAGCAAATTACCTCATGGAGACACCTTCGAGGTATTGGCGAGAGATAACAATACGGGGCACTTTATGCTTTGTAACTGGAATAGTGGAAAGGAGGGACACTTCCTGAGTAGCAGTTCGACTGGAAGTCGGGTGGCAAAAGCTGCAGTAATTGCGGCTCCTGTAGAGTGTATTAGATTCGTTGTAGTGAAACAATGTCGCAGTTTGACTTTTACCCTACTCATCCGCCACCACTCGTACGAATGGGCACCTGATTTGCCTTCGGCTTAATTCCAGAAGCCGTCGGCGCTTAACTCCATGTGATACTGTCCCCAAACTCTTATGTTGCGAAAAATGGAAAGGTTCAAGCGGCACTGTCTCCCTGAATACTGCGGCAAAGAATAAGTAGTTATGTCTTCGGTTCCACTTCGTCGGTTTGTACGGCCAAGGCACTGACCGATGGTTGGATGCAGCCGTTTTTAACTGTCACATTTGAAATTCTTAAATAGCCAAGCAAGAGCAACTACGAAAGCATCTGCCAAGGACAATTTTATCAATGGCGAACGGCAATAGGGGGAATGAAGAATATTATTTACTGTTCAATAGTGAGTGGGTACTTGTCATTCCTCATGATAGCTCTTCGTGGGCAAACACTCGTTAGCTTCTCCCTCTATCGCTTCATCTCATCTTCCTCATACTAGCGGTGTGTTATGGGGATGCGGCTACATCACGGTGAGGCCATTGGGCGTTACTCGCTAGTTCTACCTGCACACAAGTGACCCCTGCTTACAGCTGACTATTTCAGTTTACGATTAAAGACTTTGTCTGTGGAACGATGGAATTACTGTACCGCACACTGAGCAGCTGCTTACATATTCAAGCCACAGAAGGCTTTCTTACGCTCCCCAAGTTCGTACCTGGTGCGACAGGCCGCAAACAGTCTACCAAATTTTCCCTCCAAAACTTTGGAGAGTCGGCATTCTGGAACAGGAATTTTCTTAATTAACAGCAACTGCGATCTACAGCCACCAGAAAACGCGAGAGACATACCGTACTCCGGGCAGGGTGACTGCTGTCCCAGTGCAGTGCATATCCACTTGATTGGCTACTGAGGCGGGTTGAAACTGGTCACGCACAAATTCTAGAACGAGCGGAACCTTTAGAGAGGGCTACAATAACTAATGTGGTATCCTCTGCTGGGTAGCTTACTTACGGCGTTATTCCTGAATCTATGTGTTGCGTGTGTGCAATCTTGGAAATTAATTACGGGGTTATTCAGCCATAATTTGCTCCATTTTTTTTAAATGTCAATGAGTTAGCTTAGTATGCTGCATATACTTTTCTTGTTGATATGGAACCATTTGCAGGCTTCCTGGGGCCACTGTTGAGGCCCCAGCCCACAGCCACTCTTCGGGCTTCGAGCCTGCAAGCCGCTGCCTCTAACGGGCATCCCTTGAAGTTCAATACACTTCAGTTTGTATTTTGAAGTGTGCACATTCCCCTTATTGTATTGTATGTGCCACTGGCTTTAGGGGCCTCTATCTTTGGTGCCTACTCGGGCAGGACCTGCAAATGACCGATATCCAACGGGCGAAAATATCACGAAACAGAGCTTTACATGGGAGAAACTGGAGCTTCTTAAATGTGTCTATCGCTTCTGTCGAACCTCGACATTCCGAAGTGCCCTCTGCAACGGCGGCGCCGGCGGCTTCTGGGGTCGCCACGTTTAAGAATCTGACTTAAATGGGACGGCTCATACTTTTCGCCGACAAAGGGGGGGACAGCTGTGCATAGCAGTGGAAGGGGAAAAACGAAGTCAGCGTATTCCCCACCTCCAAAGGGGAAGACATGGGGCGACCACTGCTTCTGCCGGGGATTCTCTACCGCTGCAGCTGCCCTATTCGATATTCCAGCTGGAAAACAAATAAGCTATGGAATCGAACCAGCTAGTCCCCCTGAATTCCCTGAAGGATTACTCTGGAGAGGTTCCACGAGAGGATATACTTCGCCGCAGCCGACACTCAGGTTTGGTTGCTGGTCTCAACAGGGCTGCCCCGCAGTGCGATGATGAAAAAAAGTATTGTACGGAGGCACAGAAGAATCCAGAACCGTTTCAGGAACTGCACGTTCCGAGAAAGACCCCACTTACGCAGCAGATACGTTCCGACGGGAAATGCACTTCAGGGGTATTCTCTGGCGTGGAAAGAGCCCCCGTGCGTGCTAGGCCGCTGAACTGCTTCCACTCCACACTGAAAAATAGGGCACTGAAGCCACCGCAGTGCTGCACATCTGAAAGCCATAATCTAGGGAAAGCTTTCTTTGGAGGGCCCCAGCAGTCTACAAAAGACTGTACTGATCATGGGGATGAGAGCAGCATGCCAACATGCCAAAACACTTCAGGGCACGGAAACTCAGGTTTTCAGGAAGTTAACAGGTCAAAACTGACCCACTGTAGCCTCAGGGCAGACCCAAGAACAGCAGAACGAGCACCAGTGGGGGCGCCTTCGGCACAGTACTGCAGTGCCAACTTCAGCCCCAGCAAAGTAGAAAAGTCCCCCGCTAAGCCACAGCGCAACTCGGTCGTGGTAAGGTGCTCAGATGGGCCAAGCCGATTTCCGTGTGGCAGCATGGCTGGAGGACGTGATTCCTGTTCGCCTCTCCCTGCTGCTTCTGTCGGTCATTCCCTCGCAGCGGCGCACGGGGTTGGATCTGTCGGCACCATCTCTTCAGCAGCAGTGCAGGATGCTCAAAGGCCATCAGCGATATCCACAGGTGGCACTAGAACAGGTGCAGAAGCGCCAACGCCAGCATCACCGCTTTCAACAGAAGCAGCTATATGCGCAGCTCGATCGTTTTGGCCATCTGCGCAGTCTGTTCCATCTGCAAGACCACCAGGTCCAAAGTCATCACCAACAGCAATAGCAGCAGTTTCGGCAGGCAATGGGCCGTCAAAGAGACCTTTTCTGCGGCCAGTTGGAATTACTAGGTCGCCAAGGGTAACTCGCAGGCAGGCTTCCGCTGCAGCGCTTGCAGAAGTGGTGCGAATCGAAGACTCCTCTGACGAGGAGGGGCCTTCTTCCTTGATAAATCCGTCCGAAAACCCGAACGGTTCTCCAGAGGGGGAACTGGAAAACTGCAGACGAATTCCCCAAACTACAAATGGTGAGATGGAGAATAGTGTCAACTATTCTCCATCTGGACTGCAGGAAGGGGTTCGCGCTGACGCTTCGCAGGGAACGACTGCTTTCATTTTATTGGCAGCTGCCCTGGTTGGAGAGGATGGGCATTGCTGTTTGCTTAATCCTGAAACCCTACGCAGGGCTGCAGTGGAGCATGCAGTTGTGCAGCAACACCAGCAGCAGCCTTGTATTGGTAAAAATGCGTCAGCAACACCAACGAAGGAGAACAACAGAACAGAGCATGCACTCCAGGGAGACGGCGGCCCCACAAACTGCCTCCTGGTACTGCAAGTACGCCGTGAAGAGGCCGTCGTTTCGCTCGATCTGTGGAGGCCTCTGCCTGAGCCCTATTCGCCCTCGGCAAATGAGCAGAAGAACGATTGCAGCCACTCGTATGGCGAGACAGTTGCACTGCCTGTCCAAGACAGACTGGAGAGGCTTCTTAACTTTCCCCAGCAGTCTATCTCCTTTTTAAAATGTCTGAAACTCTACGCTGGGGCTTCCTGCCCAAGCTTCCCAAACATTGGACAGCGGGACAAGCAAGAAGGCTCGTGCAGATGCGTCTGTAGCAGTAGGAAGATTCGTCTCTGCCTTAACAAAAGCAGTAGTAAGTCTAGCGCAAGCCACGATGCGAAAGAAAAAGACAGGAGACATGCAAGAAAATGCACAACGGAAGAAAACCCTCAGGAGAAACATTTCGGCGAGGCTTTTCCCAGAAGCCGCAAGCAGTTTGTCCTCACTGATGACGCGGACGCGACGAATGTTCTTGCGCCAGATACGTTTAGTTCACCCGCTCGGGATGGTGCTGTTTCTGCGTTTCCCGGTGAATCACTTACTAACACGATGCAGCCTGCTCAATTAGCAGCTGGAGATGCATCTGCTACCAGACGCTGTCCGGATGCCACCAGAACCGCTAGGACTGCTGCCGGAATGGAATCCACAGAATATAGAGGATCCAAAACGAGCAGTGAAGTTAGTTACGGAAGCTGTAATGATCGGGAAGTCACGGGAAAGGCAATCAGTAGTGGAACTGCTAGTGAGGAGCACAGACGACAAACCAAGAACAGAACCAGCGACAAGCGAACGAAATCAGCTAACGATAGTAAAGAGAACCGGAAGAGCAGAAGGGATCGTGGAAGCTCTAGAAGAGAAGGGCACTCTAGAAGATCAAGATCACCTAGGGGTGAAGCGACTGCCAAGACTAAATCGCAGCTTCCCCTCTCCAGCCAAAAAGTATCAGCTGAGGAAAAAAAGAAAGATGGGCATTTCGTCACTCCGCGCAATGCTCTCATTGTGACGGATGGGAAGCCTTTTCTAGGAGCGGAGCTCACTACAGGAGACGCCGAGCTGACACGCTTGGAGACGCACAAGCCGACACAAGACGATGCTGAGGTGGACTCCGGCAAGATGAAGGGAGACAAAGACAGTCGCAACAGTAGTAGTGCCAACTTGCGCGTCACTAGTGCCACCTGTAAGAGTAATAGCAAGAAACGGCGGCAGCATTCGAGCAGCGGGCCTGTCAAATCCGGCGGCTCTTGTTCCCTTGCCATCAACGAATGTAAAGAGTCTCACACAACGGGAAAAAAAGCCCCAAAAGAGCATCAACCAAGCAAAGAATTGCCCGGCGCGGGAACTTCGGCTTCCAAATCAAAGTGTTATTGCGGCCACGTATTCGACTGCAGGAAATGCCACAAGGCATGCGCCCGTTGCATCTCCTCTGGAGCCATCCCTCACGTTCCCGTTCTCTATTTAGAACTTTGCAGTTCTGGTACACGAAGTCTGTACTGCAATGAAATACTGCAGAGGGCATTGGAGCTCGACAGTGGACAGGCCTCTTGTGTTGCGTCGTCTGTCGAAAAAGAGCAACCTAGCGCAGAAGGTGCGCACGCAGTGACATGCACTGCCGGCGTCCCTGCTGTGTTGCCCACGGCCCACAGCACCGGCACTAGGTGTTGGAGTCCTCACGCGGACGGTGGAATAGTTGGGAGTAGCACCAGCAGCAAGAGTGGGGAAACGAGCAGCATTAGCAGCAGTGCTAGCAGCTCCACCTGCAGAGCCACCACTGCGTATGCCGTCGATTGCAACAAAGAGGACAGCCACCATCGTCGGTCATCGAGAAAGCTTCACGAGGTAAAGGACTGTGAGGCTGATAGCTGGCACCAGGCATCCAGCGGTGTCAAGCACAGCTCCGGATTATCCAGAACGAAGCGGGAGTGCAATAGCAGCTCACGGCGCAGCCACAAGTGCAGCAGCAGCCAGAAGAGACGACGGCGTGGGCACTCACCAACATCTGAAGCAGTAGTGGATGAGACATTCGAAAAGCTTTTGAGTTGCTCAGCGGACCAATCCGTGCTTGCGTGTAGCATCTGCCTCGATTGCTGCACAACCGGCAGCTGCAGTAATTCCACAACGAAGTCGCTTCTTGGCACTTCCACTGTTGCCAAAGATACCAACCAAAACAAAGCCAGTGTGAAGCTTAGACCTGCCCGCGCCACCACTTTGGGAGCCGCTATTCTAGAGACCAGCAAAGGGTCCTTGCTGAAGGCAGAGGGGTACTCCATCGAAAAACAGACGACTGGAGATTTGTCAAGAAAGCCAATCGAGCAGCTTCCACAAAGAAAGGGCCCTTGGTTGCTCATATGTGTAGGCCCATCACTGCAAGCTGCCCCCGCAAAAGAAAGCTCAAGTTCAACCTATGAGGGCAGAAAAGGCGCCCCTATTGAGCCACATTCAGCGCAGAGTGACATGACAGTGTCATATCCTGCAGGAAGCGGGGCCCACGGCAGCAGCACAGATATAAAATTACTTGAAAGCGAATATGCTAGTGGCTGCAGGGGTGATTTGGAGTCGCTGTGTAAGGTTATCCTTCCCTCAGACGTGGCAGCTCCTCCACTATATAATCTTGGAGGTCTAGAGTCAGCTGGCGATCCCGTGGACGTCGAAAATCTTTCCATGTTCTTTGCGAACTGCATTACAAAACAATCCGGTTCTCACGATCATGAAGACGACGCGCATTTCAAAGGGAATCGTGCCCAGACAGTAACAGAACTTGTCCTTCGCATCTCAAAGGTGTTGCATGAGTTCGTCTTGAGGAGTATTGGGCCGTGGAAAGCTATGCATAGGAGCAAAAGCGCTATCTACAGCCTATCTTTAGAGGCTCTGGTGTCCTCGTGGAGAGCTAGGGAGTTTCGGATGACTGGACATTTTTCGGAGCGGGGAGAGCGGGTAGACAGGAGACATTTACATTCTGGGTCTGCTGCAAGCTTGGAAGCCAGTAGATCTGCGTCTTGCAAGGCAAATACTACGGTGCAAGTTTTCACAGGACGAGCAGGCAAACGACTAGCAACAGCTGTCACCTCACCAGCCTTTGACTTACTTCTGGATGACAAGACTTTGCGGCGCCTTAGTGATAAGGAGTTCCTGGACGATACCATAATTGACTTTTGCCTTGGATTCATCGTTAACCATGTATGCTTGCACTTTTTCTTCTTCCGAAGCAGACCGTAACATATTCTGGGTAGAATTAAGGTGGCCAAGGAAGCCGATTGCCATGTACAGATGTTTTGTTAAATGTTAAAGTTGGTCGCCTGGTGCGCTGGCATCCACTGCCACCTGTTGTGTGCCCCTACCCGCTCTCATGTCGAAGTTTTGAACTTGGCTGTCCTTTTGGGGCGTATGAGCAGGCACTTTACTTTTTGCCCTCCTGCTTTCCGCAGCTTCACTATATCTGTGCCCAACCATTTGTCGTGTGCTCTTCCTTGTTACGCACACAGTTGTTACTTTCCTCCTGTTGTGTACGGTTGCAGATCTTGACGCCTCAGGAGAGGGTTCGTGTCCACATTTGCAACACTTTCTTTCTCTCCGCGCTCATGGGGCAGAGATGTGAAATCGAGGCGCACAGCCGTCTGACTAGGTGGCTCAAGAAAGAAGTCACTCCCCTTCCGCGGAAGGACTTCATTTTTATTCCCGTTCATCACAAGCACCAGCACTGGAGCTTGGCGGTCGTCGTTTGCCCCTGGCGGGCTCTCAATCCAACGCAAAAAAGCGGAGGAGAGAAGGCTGTTAGGTCAGCTGCTGTAAACGTAAAGTGTAAGCCTGAAGCTAACAGGTCTGTAAGAGATTTCCAGCTATCTTTCTCGCCGGGCATGCATGCGCAGCAGGCTGGCGTAGAGAGGCCCGTCAGCAGTGCCCTAGCAGAAAAGGTTGCACCATCGCCCATTGTACAGCACCAAGCGGTCGAGTTACCTACCCCGTTAAAGACTCAGGGCCCTCACACACACAGAGGATGCCGCGCGAAGGCTCGACTGTTTTACGTTGACTCCATGGGCCTACGCAGCGTGTTCGATCGCAGTCGAGGCCGATTGAAGAGGTTTTTACGACACGTAAGAAGAGACAGCCTAAGATACTGACGACAACATTCTTGCGGGATGAATATGTAGGAGCGTGCACTTAGTTGCATCACCATTCAGATTCATTTTGTTAAGTAGTGAAAACTGCTGAGTTTTCTGTAGGCTTTGCTACCCAAAGATTGGGATGAGGTGACACTCAAGCTGTGCTCTTTATGTGTTGAGTGCCCTGTAGGAATTCGAGCATCGCTGTGGGGGCGAGATGAACTGTGGGCAGGAGGTGGAATTATGCACAGAGAGCTGTTGTTGGCACGATGGCGTTAGCTGCACCTTGCACACTCCACGCCAGCAGAATGGATATGATTGCGGCGTGTTTGTTGTTGAGTATGTTTATTTCCTGACACGGAACCTCAACGCGATCGAGACGCTCCTGTTAGGACCGTCGCGCGATTTTCAGCCTCAGCAGCGCAGTTCTCGGGATCAGACCCCCGACTCTACTGCTTCCTTTGTCCCTCATAACTGGTTTGTCCATCCTGGTACCAGAGTAGAGGCTGTGAACCACGGCAAATTGCTTGAGGCTACTCTAGGTTTCTACTGCCACTGCATGGACGTGGGGATCCCAAAGGAAATGCCCAGGGTCGTCAGCTCAGCTTTAGGGCTGGCTTCCAGTTTAAATGTGCATTCAGCGGAATTTGGGCAGATGAATACAGCGATGCACGGTTCTGCAGCGGCTGATGTATCCAGGCAACAGGAATTGCGACAGCAGGCAGGTACCCCTCAATCACCACTGAACACTTCTCTGGCAGGTGCTTCCTTTGTTACTCGAACTCTCACCCCCCCGCCAGTAGAACTGGTTTGTCGTTCCATGATCCCCCCTGATGCGCCCCAGCTTCACGATCAAAACGGTTTGGTAGGAGATTTCTGGAGGGCAAAGGATGAGTCCACCACATCAAAGCTGAGTTCAGCTCAACCAGAATCAATGAGGCACTGGAAGGCGGCTTTGGCATTACAGGGCCCTCTTTGGGGTCCGCTAGCCCCTTCCGTCAGCAAACGGCGGTCTGCACATACCAAATGGTTTTCACAGGACCGTGTTACTGAAAGGTGAGATTGGATAGCTTGAGCAGCTACTTGGAGTCGATAGGGACATTACTGTAAGGCATAAGCTTGCAGAGGGCGGAATATTTGTCTTGATTTGCGAGATTCTGAGTGTCGCAGGCGATCCCAGCTACACAAAATGCTCCTATTCATGCGGCAAAACGTGCTCTGGCAGGAGGATCCAAAGCTTGTTGCCCACCTAAAGTCTCTATTTCTGGATATTGAGCGGCCTTGCCACTAAGTGCCAGTTTCGCGCAAATCTAGTTTAAAAGCATCTGTTTTGATTTCTTTTTGAAACAGCTTCTCTACCTAGTAGCTTCCAGGACCCTGCTTTAGCGGCAGCTCTTTCGTGTATGCATTCTCTACTAGCAACACAGTTTCGTGAGGCGGCTAGTAAAAATGTCTTTCAGAAATTCCTAAATGGAGAGTGTGGGAACATGGCAATATTTTAAAACCTGTTTGTTGGATACATCCACATGCAAGCCCAGAGGCAGTAGAGACTTTGCTGCCGAACAGTGAAGCCTCACTATTGTTTCATGAAAACAGTGAAATCTCAAAACAATTAGAATTTTGTGAGGTTTCTTGCCTCATGAAGTGTTATCTCGTCCCAGGAACGGATTAGGGGTAAAAAGGATGTCGCGTGCATTCGTCATGAACGGACTTTTTAACGGTAGGAAGAAGGGCCCCTGTTTGTCCAGCAAAAAGCTCTTCGAATTGACCTTCACCTTCCCAACGACTCCAGAAATGCGGCGTGGGAACGACAACTGAGACCCATGATTTAGGCATATATTGAGGAAGCATGCAGACAATATGAGGGTAGCCTACGCATCCTATTCCCGCTGCCTGTCGCTGCATTTGAACGTGCTTCACTGCGAGCGCTTGAAAAGGTAAGTATTGGGGCGAATGGCATCGCTGGGGCCATTGTTGCCACTGTGTGGCCCACTGTTGGGGTACTTGCTGTTGAGGCAGTTGCCCATCTACAAAGATGATTTGCACTGGGCTCTGTTGGTTGCTGTATCCAACCGGGCTATGTCGCTTTCGAAGAGGAGCACCGTGCAAACTTGAGCATTGGGCCTGCAGAGTGGTTGTGGCAGGTCTCCACTGCCATGCTCTACTGCCTCCGAAATTGCGTTGGTTCACTGCACCGCATGTCGAAGCTGTGGCTGATGCACAAGAGTACTCGAGAACGCCCTCCCCAGGCTGGTAGGAGGCAGTACATGCCGATGCCTCAGTGCTATGAGTTGAAGATCCCGACGTAACTATTTCCGCAACTGGGATTTTACCTTCTGTTGTGTCAAGAAAAGAGGAGTCGGACTCTCCATCTAGCCTTTCTTGCCTAGGCTCCGAGCAAAGTTTAGATAAACAGCTCATTTGGAAAATCTTACATTCTGGCTGCTGCAACTTCGTTTGTACCTGAGTCCCGCTAAATTCCATTTTCTCAAGCGACGACGAAGCCTCTTCAGAGGGATTGAGTCCTACCGACGGTATGCTGGCGGTGCTTTGCAACATCCCAAGGGCAGCCTGCTCTTGCTGTTGCGGGGAAGGAAGTCGTGTAGAATATGTTTTAATGCGAGACTTTAGCTCAATACACTTGCTACTCGAAAGTCCCTTTTCCCTGTGTCCTTTTCTGTTTTTGTCGGGAAGTTCTGAGGAACGCGTGGCTTTAAATCCTTGCCGCTGAGTTTCTGTGCCTTCACGGAAATACAACCAGCTGGGGGCTACTTCGCCTCGACAGCATGAGCTCTGCAAAGCACGCCAATTTTGAGTGGGAGGTGCTGCTTCTGTGTATACTAGCTTTTCAATCCCATTGGCGTGACGAGCGTGCCTTGGGTGAGTATAAAGCGGTCCTCGGCATGTCGATGTGCATGCAGAACAGATACTTTTTTCTCCCGATTGTGTCTCCTTCACAACTAGGTGTTCGAGTTTCTCAACGGCCAGCGTTTCCGTAGGGAGCATAGTGCGGCATAGCCCCGTTTTCCGAGATAGAATGGCGTCTAATCTTTCCATTTGATGTTGCAGCTCTCTCCGTAAGTGGAGGGCCTCCCGAAGCTCTTCGGGACTGTGACACGAAGCTCTGGGCAGCTGCTGCACTCACGCATTTCGGCACATGCTTGAAGCAAAACTGAAGAATGTGCTCTTCTGATTTTTTCAGACGCTTAGTACACTACGTCGGTGGTCAATTGGAAGTACCCACCACCATCTTCAGGCCTTCTGCAGCTCTCTTCAGCCTGAATTTGCATGCCCAGAACGCAGTGCCAGCAGCCGCTGCCGTGATGTTAACGTTCTCGACGCTGTCTATCACGGTGACCAACGGTCTGAAGTGTGTCCAGCAAGCGTATATGTCTCACTCCTTTAAAAGTTCATGCTGTTTCAATAGAAACTGCTTCGTTGTGGTGGTGCCTATCTTGATTGGCCTCTCTCGGAGACAAGAAGCTCTCTGGGCAAAGTCGATTGCATGTAGCGACAGTTGAGTAGCTGTGCTTGCGGGGTTGATTGTCACCAACAGCACAATGCTTGCATCGCTGTGAAGGCTCCCCTGAAAAAATGTCACAACCATTAAATGTGTCGTTGCAGGCGGAAGACCATTTAACTCTAGTTGCGTACAAGTGTTCAGAGCTTCAAATTAGTGGGCATCCGTCCAAATACTTTTGACTAAATGCAGCTGTTGCAGAAAGATAAAAGCAGTTCTGAGGTAAGTTAGGAAAAAGCGCAACTTCCACTCCTGTCGGATGGCGGCACCATGAGCAAGCTTTTCCACATACCGCAAGAATGCGAGTGAGATTTGAATAACGGTAGGGAATTGGGACGTCTGCACCCGCCACGCCCATGCCGTTTGTGTTGGCTGTGCCCTGCAGATTGCAGAGGGAGCAGGTAGCCATCAGCTGCTTGTTGGCTTATATAGGTATCGTCACTAGGAGACTTATTGTGCACTAGCTGACAAGCGGCATTCTCACCACACTCGTACCTCCCCACGTCTTCGTTCCTCTTGCTTAACGAGTGACCCAAAGCAGAGGCTGTAGATTATCGGAACAACAAATGATCCAAGATGTAGAATAAGCAGGGGAT